CCTGTAAGTCGCCATGACCACAGCAAACCATGCAAGGCAAGAGGGACTCCTGACTCTCTTTCCTTATCAAAACCATTAGCTTTTGGCCAAATCCTGCTCCCTCGTTGATCACCTTTGGAAGGTGGCAAAATATTTCAGCTCTCCACTGAGCATTGTAAAACAAACAAACGAACAAACAAGTATTTTGGTGGTAGTAGAGTTTCCCATGCATTTACTTAGATTTGAGATCTGGTTTTGCTTGTGTATTTTTTCACTTCCTTAAGCATCTTTATAATAGCAGAAATTAAGTTTCTAGAGTGTGTCTGGCTTGATGTGCCTTTTGGTAGATGCAACCTGCCAGGCATCATCTCATGAATGTACCAGCCAAGCTAAGACATTTCTGGTGTGATTACCTTATATACATATATATATATGTGTGTGTGTGTGTGTGTGTGTGTGTAAAAATGTTGCATTTACCCTAAGGAAGGGCAGCTTCCCAGACCAGCTTTCCTTGGGGGCCGCTGTGTTACCGCTGGTTGTGTGAGGTGCTCAGTATTCAGAGTCGAGCCGGGCTCAGTGTGAAACAAATGGAATCTGCTGCTCTTTTGTGGCCTCTTATAAAAGCCTTTTTTCCTCCGGTGCCATTTGAAAATGCAGGGAAGCAGTGTGGAATTTTCTGCTTTGTTTTGGGGCTGCGTGGCTTGCTGCTGTGAGGGGATGTGGGCTGGGTTTTAGCTTTAGTCTTTAGCATTTGCCTCTTCTGCTGCCCTTTTCTTACCCCATGGATGGTTGTGCCTGGGACGCATCCAGAGGGAGCGGGTGCTGCTCTTCCTGCCTATTGTTAACAGTTTTGTTTGCACTGCCTCCCTACAGCACCTACCCCTGTGAGCTTTTGAGCGGTGTTGAGAGCAACGCAGAAAGCGAGCAGTAATCCAAAACCCCTAGATGCGGCTCCTTTAGGAGATTCTGTAGGTGTCTTCCCTAAAAATCGGATCAGAACGGGCTTGTTAAGTTAACTCCTATTGAGGTGCAGTTACCCTCCTAGACCTCGGGGAGGTCTCAGAAACTCTCCGGAGGCTGGTGCGGTCCCCGGAGCGGTGCCAAGTCCTTGGGGACACAGATCCCTTTTCTGCGCTGCCTCCTCTTCGCCCGCTGAGCTTTCCAGGCCTTCCCAGCGTCGCTGTCCCGAGCGCTGCCGCTGCTTGCTCAGGGTGGAGCAGATGGAGCAGGGATGAATCCATTGCTGCTCGCGAAGGGTCGTCGTGATCCCGCTGGAAGGCGGATTGCACCCGCACCTCCGACCTCGCGGGCGACTTTACGGCTCCTCTCCTCTGGTCTTTGCTCTCCAGGGCTGAGTGTTAGCAGAGCTGGCTGGTCAAAACCTCCTTTCTGCTTCACTTTTTTCCTCCCATTCCTTTTCATTTTCCTTCTTTCCTTTTTCTTTGTTGCTGTGGCATGAGTGGAATAGCTGATGATGTGGTGGAAATACTGCAGCCCTGGCAAAAGCCTCTCCCCCCCTTCCTTATAAGCACTATACCCACAGCCACCATGCCACCATGCAAACTAGGACACAGTGAGAGAAAAGGTGCCAGGTAGACCTGCCGTTAAACCATGGGCCAGCAACTGTTATGGGCAGTTCTGCCCAGCTTCACAGAGGGCCTGGATACCCGCACTTTTTCTTTGGTTATCACCAACTTGTGCTCTGCCAGTGCCAAGTTTTTGCTGCATTTCCCCATTAAGATGGGGATGCTGCATTACGATGCCCCTGGGACAAGCTTGTTTCCCAGGAAGGTGCTTGTTCACCTTGTTGCTCTGCTGGGTAGAAGGCAGGTCCCTGCTTTGAAGGTGGGTAAAAGGAAGGTTCTCAATTCCAAGGTGTTTGCCTTGCAGGCATGTGAGGCGGAGCAGCCGTGGCCTGGCGCGGTGCTCGTGGGGAGATTCCATCTCCCTGAGACTTGGATCCCATCTCCCAATGGCTGGTTTTGGTGACGGAAGATTGATGGAGCCAGAAACCTGCTGGCTTTTGTCTGGTAATTCCAAGCCCTGGATTTGTGTCTCGCCAAACTTGGCCAAGTGAGAGGTAACACATCCAGGTGATGTTCCCACATGGGTGTTTTACACTCTGCTCTCCTGGGATATCATCCTTACTACAGCTGCAGTCGGAAGGTCTCTTTATATCGTCTTCCCCTTATGTTTTCTCATCTTTTTTTCAGATAGCTGCTGTCTCATGTGTAGTTAGTTCAGTAGAAGCAACTGGAGAACTTAGAGTTGCTGTCCCCAGCTGCTGCTTCCACCTTAATCTGCCGGGTTGGTGGAGCTGAAGGTAAATCAGTGTAACCACCCACAGCTTCACTAAAGGTGAAGAAATTTGCTGTGGGAATTGGCTCCGTTTTCAAATAGGGATGGATCAGTTGGCAGTCCCTGTCACTCAGCCAGCTGAAATGACTGAGCCAGCAAAGACGACCCAGCAGGTGCTCAAGTGAAATGCTTCAAAAACACCCTCTTGTTTACCTTCAGCTGCATCTTTCCCCAGTAAGAACCCTTCAAAAATTCATGGCAAATTGGCTAAAAATGCGCGAGATGGAGTGGCTTTAGTAGAACCCGAGAAAAGGCCTCTCTGTTTCTTCCTGAAGTTGCTCGAGGAAAGTTCAAAGGGAACTTCTAATGTTTATTTACACTGCATTCACCCATCCAGAAACTCTTTGCCATGAGTTATTTGAAGCTTTAATGTTTTATTAAAATCACAGTGGGATGTTGACTCTAATGTTGATTCTGCACATGGTATGCCTATAAAACCTAGGCACTGGTATCTTACATTCGCATTGAGATAAAAACGATGCACGTTGGGAATAGGATTTTCCAGCCTTTTCCTGATGAAATTGTTGAATGTTTTTCTGTCATTTTCCCTGAAAGCACAGCCAGGGCAGTACAAAAAGTTTTGAGAAACCTCAGTCTCCAAAGACATTTTTGAACTTGAGGAATATTTTTTCATGCGGTAGCAGTCCTCCCTTGTAAAACATGTTTTACACTGGTCAGGATGCAGGTGAGCGAGTGTCCGGAAAAGGGACTGTTCCCACCTTGGCTATAAAAGGTAGCTATAAAATCGAATTCAGAAGTCACTCAGCCGCCTTCTTGGCTTGTCCATGGTATCAGCCAGTTTTTATGTTTAAGACTCAGACCACAGGAAGCAAAGAGTGAAAGAGGTTTAAAATCTGAGTTGGAATTACTAGGGTTCTCAGTGTTGAGAAAGTCGAAATCTAAGATAACAGGGAAGGCGTTTTGGTGAATCCTGTTACTTGCTCCTAAAGGTTCCTCCTTAATTATTCTGCGTGTTCTGGTTTTTTGTTGCTCTTGTGGAGTGAAATTTGAGACATTTGAATGCGGAGCTTTCTCAGTTTTCTTTTCGTATGGCTGCTTCTGAAAGTGGAAAAACGAGAATGTCAAGGAGAAATTCTTCCCTTTAGATTTTCATCTTCCAAGTTATGTCCAGAAAGATATAAAAGTAGATTAAGAACCACTGTTGCAGCAGAAAAGAAGAGATAGATACATGGGCTGGAAACTGATTGTCAGCAAAATAAAATAAAATAAAATAAAAAATAATCATCTTAGAAAAGCCAGCATCACAGATAATGGTATTGGTTGCTTGAGGTAAAGTCAGGAAAAGTCAGCAGGAGTTTTCCTTTCCGTTCCTGTAGCGAGAATTCATGGGAATTCATCCCCTTGCTGGGTGGGCCTGGGCTTGCACCTTTGTGCACAGCACCTGCTGAGACCAAAGAGCTTTTTTGGCACCTGCTCGTGGCCGTGCAGCCAAAACGCTGGTTTGCAGCAGGGCCAGGGGTCAGTCCTGGGCAGGATCTGGTGCTGCCTCACCTGAGAAGCTCATGTTGTATGAGAAAATGAGCTTCGCAGCTGAGTTAACTTCCAAGTCCTGTTATTTGGGCCTTTATTTGACTGTGTTCCTTGTAACGCAGCTGTGGTGCCTGATTCTGCCTTACAGCACGTGTTCTTGAGTCCTCGCTACTGCTTGGACCTCTCGCCTCTCTGCCCAGGACAAGCATTTTGGATGTGAGCAAATTGCAAATACCTGCTCTTTAAAGCAGAATTAAGGAGCCGGCTGTTACCTTTTCCTCCTTTGCCCTCAGTGCCCAATGTGCCTGGAAACCACCCTGCCCTGGGGCCTGCAGCAGTTCCAGCTCAATGGGGATTAACAGCAGCTCCGGCAGCTCGGGGCCCCAGAGTCCCTGGAGCCCTGTTTCTTTTCCGTGTTGGCCAGAGGGTCTCGGGTCTCAAAGCTTCAAAGAGCTGGTTCCATTTACACAAGGGTTTTGAGTTATTCATAGTGATCTGTGAAGCGCAGGGGTTCCCCTCCGAGATTTGTGTTGCTGCTTCGCCCGCGCTAAGGTAGAGGCAGATGTAACTAGCCCGAGAAAGCTGCAAAACAGCCCCAGAATTCACACCATGGTGCGGTACGTGCTGGCAGCACGGTGTCCAGGCGTGGGTACAACAGGCTGTGTGGATTCTGGAGCGGCTTCTCCTGCACAGGGCCGTGCAGACTGCTCCATACAGACTGCTTTGCCGCTGGGATGTTTATTTCCTCAGTTGATCAAAGTACCATGGGCCAAAGGCAGCCTGGAGGACTCTCAATGGGGCCTTTCACAGGCTCACGGAATAGTCGAGGTTGGAAGGGACATGTAGAAATGCTTTTATCCAACCCCCCTTGCTCAGGCAGGGACACGTAGAGCACGAGACATCCCTCGCTGGAAGCACGTTCGTGTGTCGCCTTCCATCTGCATCTTTGCAGCCGGAGAGGTCGCCATCCCTGCCTTGCCCCACAGGAGTGTCGCTCCGCGGTGCCGCCGCCGTCCCGTGCTGGAGATGCCTTCTCCCATTCTCTGAGCTGCCTCCGGAGCTGCCCGTGTCTGTGCTCTTTAGCTTGCTTCAGTCCAGCATAGCACAAAACTGCTACGGCAGCCAATGTCTCTGATTTTGGCACAAGTAAACGGTAGCAGCATGCAGCTCAGTTCCTCAAAGCAGGCGGAAAGCCCTGATGAAGCACACGGAGAATGCACGTGTGTGTGAATGTATCTCTAGGTACGCACTGCAAAGCTATCCTTTATCCTATCTATTAAACAGTGATTAAAATTAAACTAAACCTTTAAATTCTGTTTTTTTTTTTTCAATGTTAGGCATTATAATAAACTCTGTTCAACACCAAAATACCCAGTTTGGGATTGGTGTGTTCACAGTCATCTCAGGGAGGCAGTTCAGGTCCGGGCAGTGATATTGGCACCGCCATCTGCAGGCCTAAAGCAAGAATTTCCTGTGTTTCTAAATGACACTGTTAAGATTTTTCAGGTCACATTGAACGGTTCCTCTTCAAAGGTGACCACCACATGCAGCGTATTTCAGACTCTGTCACCCCTTTGGTTTTGGGAAGCACAACTGTTGTGCTAATGGGAAGCATCAGCTGTGCTAGTGATAAGCATCGCTCTTAATGCTGGTGTCAGTCAGTCCCTGCTGAGGAAAACAGAAGTTTGCAAAAAAAAAAAAAAAAAAGTGCAAGACGATTCAAATTAATTAAATTCAATTAAAATTAATTAAAAGAAAATGAATTCACATATTTTCCCTTCTGTGGGTGCTGGGTATGAGGTTATTAGTGCGCTCTTGAGAGGCAGTTCCTATGTTAGCAGCCTGTGCAATCAATGCTACTTCTTCTTCTTCTCTTGCAGAGCTGCCCTTTTTGGTTTTTATTTCTATCTTTTTTGCAAGTGGCTGAATTTTTGAACCAAATAATATCGCTCGTCACAATTTTCCTGTGACTCTCGGGAACGTGCCGCGGAGTCTTCACTATCTGCTATCCAGTCCTGCTTTCTTCTCCCTTTAGCAGGTAAGCAAACGTCTCTACAGCGCTATCTGCAATTCCAGATCCCGCTGTATTTCCTGCCCTAGCAAATAATCTGCAATACTCTGTGATTCTTTTTTCTAAAACATCAACCCATGGCAGTCACAGAATCACAGAATGGTTGAGGTTGGAAGGGATCTCTGGGGATCATCTAAACCAACCCCCCTGCTCCAGCAGGGACACCCAGAGCACGGGGCACAGGGTGGCATCCAGGCAGGTTTGGAAGATCTCCAGAGAAGGAGACTCCACAGCCTCCCTGGGCAGCCTGTGCCAGGGCTCTGGCACCCTCACAGTGAAGAAGTTCTTCCTCACATGCAGATGGAACTGCCTGTGTTGCAACTTACACTCATTGCCCCTTGTCCTGTCACTGGCCACCACTGAGAAGCGCTTGGGCCCTTCCTCCCTACATTCCCCCTTCATGTGCTTATATATATTAATCAGATCCCCTCTCAGCCTTCTCCAGGCTAAACAGGCCCAACTCAGTCTCTCCTCATATGAGAGATGTTCCAGTCCCTTAATCATCTTTGTCGCTCTCCACTGGACCCTCTCTAGGAGCTCCATGTCCCTCTTGTCCTGGGGAGCCCAGAACTGCCCCCAATACTCCAGGTGCGGCCTCACCAGAGCTGAGCAGAGGGGCAGGATCCCTCCCTTGAGCTGCTGCCAACGCTCCTCCTGATGGATCCCATTGGCCTTCTTGGCCACGAGGGCACTGCTGACTCATGGCTAACTTGGTGTCAACCAGGACTCCCAGGCCCCTCTCTGCAAAGCTGCTCTCCAGCAGGTCGAGCCCTAATCTGTACTGGTGGCTGGGGTTATTCCTCCCCAGGTGCAGGACCCTGCACTTGTCCTTGTCTTCCCCCTAAGTAAAATCCATCTCCATGCGGAAAGGAAAACTCCAATGTCACCCATCGCTTTTCCAGTCGCGGGGCCGCCTCGAGCTGCGCGCGCGGGCTCGGCGGCTGCTCCCAGGATGGCGCTCGGGCGGCTGCCGCAGAAGGGCGCGGAGGCTGCACGGGGGCTGGAGGGCGCGCGGGCTCCTCCGGTGACCCACGCGTGATGGGAGGAGCGGCCGCGAGCGGCTCGGTGGCAGCAGCGCCTTCCGCAGCCACCGCGACGGCGGCATCGGTGCTTGACAGCGCTTGGGCGCAGCCGCCTGTCACGGCGGGGACGGCCAGGCCGTGACAGGGAATTTGGGAAATGCCTTGAAGCGGCTCTCAGAAAACGCTAGTCACATATGGGGGGAGAAAGGAGGATGTAAGCGTGCCTGTGTGTGCATGTATTTATTTGAAAGTAAATGCGCTTAATCTTAGATATTCTTTTTTTTTTTTGCTTTTCATATTATCATCACACGCTGTCATCTTTGTTTTTTTCCAAGCAATTTTTTTTTTTTTTTCAGTAAACAATTGCCAGTTTCCTCCACCAACTTCATGTTCTCCGTGAACCTGTAAAGAGATTTATATTCTCTTGAAGATTTGTTTGCTTTATCACAAAGCTGCAGGAGCTAAACTCTGCCATGGCTTCATTTTTTTCTTTCTGTGAATTTTAAGCAAAGCAGTCTTTTTAAAAGGTACTCCTTTTAAAGAAAAAAGAACTTTCTCTCTGAATTGTTTTGAGCAACGCACACTTCCTTCCAAATCTATATAAAGCTGTAAACGCTGAGGCTGCTCGCTCTGTGCTATTTCATTACAGTGGTCACTGGATTTTGCTGCAGTGCTTGCCTTACCTCATCCCAGGCTGGTAAAGTGCAAACCCTCGGGATGTTCCCTGCAGCTCCCGCTGAGCTCTTGCACCCTATCTGGTACAAGCGTAAGACCTGCAGCAGAATTGATCTCTAATTTTACCTCGAAACTGAACACAGATGCTGCAAAGTGAAAGAAAACGCTTTCGTTTGTGTTGCCCTTGTTTTCCAAGGGCTTCAGGACGCCTGGGTTCCCTAAGAAGTGAGTGAACAGCATCAGTAGCAGAGATGGGGGATCTGACAGCTCTTTGTGCTACAGCTGGAGCTCGGACGTGTCAGGTTGTGAAGAGAGTAGGCCTGGATGTTGCTGCCTTTCTCATGGGCCTCTCCTCCGGAAAATGTGAGGGAAGAATCAGGGTATAACTTTTCAGGGAAGGTTTACTCTTTGCTCCGTGCTGTGGCACGGTGTCATTTAGAGCTTGGGATTCCAGGGCTGTTGTAGCAGGGCCCATAGACGACGTGTGCTGGCGGTTCTGGGCCCTGCTGGTTGGTGTCTCCACATCTGGAGACCTCTTGGTCTCCATGGCCAGTTAGCTGAATGCACGGAGACTTGGTCTCCACGTCTAGCCAGCTGAACATGCCTTCTGGATCTATCACTGGTGTTGAGTGGGTTTAGAAACCTGATTTCAAGTGCAATGCCATTTTTCTCTCTCATCTTCGCCATCTGAGTAAAGACAACAGTGTCTGCGTTAGCTGAGTGGAGATCAAAGCATAAATTTATACATCTACTTATCGAACTGCAGGTAAAACAACCATTTCACCTGAGAAACGGATGGAAATCATGTATATTTATATTAAAAAAAAAAAACAAATTTTGATTTCTGCTATGAGGAAATGGAGGAAAAAAACTGATTCATTCTTCCTTTTTTGCCCAGCTGCACAAAAAGTGATCAAAACAGCTTTCATAGAGCTAAGGAAAGGCATACAAGTCACCTTATTGGGGTTTGAATCATCTTCTAGAAGTTAAGTAGGGAGAATCGCCCAAATAAGGTCATAAAAAGTCATAACCAGGCACAGAAATCATGATGCTGATTTGGAAATAGTTTTTTTTTTTTTTTAATTTTTAAGAACTTGTGTTCTCTTTTTGCACATAGTTGAGACTATCAGCTGTTTCAGCACCTTTGATCACTAGATTTTATTTCTTGATTAAAATAGTAAGAAAAACAAGTAGATAAGTAGGAGTAAGACTTGAGGGCTGGGACATATTTTCATTAAGCCTCTTAACTAGGACTTACCAGAGTAGCTAATAATTTTTGAGGCCTTTGTTCTTTGGCCACCAAAGTTTAGGCCTTCTGATAGAGAAAGACAGTTGTATGTTATTACAGGTTCACACTTAAATTAAAGCTCCTATAATTTTTTTGTTGTTTTTAACAGTACTGGGTATTGAAAATCTGAGTTGCAAAGCATTTTGCCTTTTAAGAACGGCTTCAAAACATTTGAAACAGATTTTGTGTTTGAACTAGTTTTTCTGCTAAGAGCATGGATTCAGAAGGAAAACACTACAGTAAATGAACGCTGAAAATTTATGGTTTATTCCAGTGGAATAAGTCAGATGTATTTAGCCTTTCAAATGACACACTAAATTCTCATGCTGAATAAACTGGAGAAACTCGGGTGGAGTCAAGGAGCCAAAGAGCTAGATTTGCAAAGTCATTTATCTTGTGCCAGCCTGAGTCAAAAGTTCAGTTTTGGGTGCTCTCCTGCCCCAGCATTCAAACCTGGAACCAAAACCTTCAGCTGGAGCCAATTTCTGAAGCAGGTGACTAATAAGATGAATATCAAACCCAGTGCACACACACACACACCTCCGCACACCGCTCCTCTCCAGCCTGGGCAGAATTAGCAGTTTCTGCAGTCGAACCTGGAGAGCTCCATTGGAATACACAAGAGCCAAGCCAAAACATGGCATAGAACATCTTTAAATCCAAATCTGATCTTTCTGAGGCTCAGAAAAGAAAAGTACTGCTCTTAAAAGTGCACGAGCTGTCAGTTTTTTTAGCCTAAGGATGGGCAAAGTGCAGATTTTCCAGGAGGCAGAAACTTCGTTTGTCTATTCCATCTCTTCTTGCTGCTTGGAATAGGTTACCAGGAAAGTGCCCATTTGGTGTAATCTGGTACCAGCTTATTTCTAAAGACTGGAGTACCTTAAAAGAAAATGAGGCAAGGATTTGAATGTGGAGCTGATCCACAGTGCGGGCTTCCCCACACAAGAGATGTTTTCAATTTTTTCTTTTTTTAAATGATTTCCCCAAAATGAAATATGTTATCCAGAATACATACGGAAAGCCCTGGGCTGCCTGCTCTGGGCTGTCTGGGCTATCAAGGCAGCCCTGCATCCCAGCAATGTGACCTGGGACTCTCAGTACTGGATTCCCAGCTCTCCCATTGGGACCTTGTTTGCGTGTCAAGCTCTCTGGTTTTGACTGGGGAGCTGAGCTCCTGTTAAACTGAGTCTGTGTGGACTTCAGAAATGATAGTGACCCTACGGCAGCAGGCCTGAAAGATCCTGGATGGCTCATGGCTCCCTATGCCACAAAGCCTAAAAAGCATTGAGAATCTTACCTTTTCTTTTTCCTGTAAAAAACAGGAATTAAAATTTTCTACACACCTGCAGACTTTGAACCATTTTGTAGAGAGAAATTAATACAATTTAAAAGAGCTCTTTTGAAATGACTAAGGAAAGCCTGGTGCAAAATAAAGCCTGAGCAACAGGACTCGCCAGGAGTAGAATTGATGCTGTCAAGCTGCTGGAGACATGCAATGTTTCTATGTGAGCAGCCCTTGTTCTTTCCCCTTACCTTACCTCCCCAAAATCACTGCTGCTTACAGAGGCTGTTTTCCAGGTGTTGCTACCCTGTGGGGGGGAAAGAAGTGGATTTCTGGATGGAAATGTAGTGGAATTTCCCTTCCTTGGAGACCATGACTCGGGTGGTGGTGTCCTGTCGATGGCTGGCTGATGCCTGAGCCTGGCTCATGGGCTAGGGAAGGAGTGAAGGGAGTTTTGTGTAGCCTTGCCATCGAGTCTGAAACCTCTTGAGGACTCTGCCTTTGAGATGAGCGGTTTCCCTGAGCCTGCTGAGGAAACACCGACCCAGCAGATACTGGGAGGTCTCATAGCGCTGGACCTGCGGATATGATGAAATCAAGATTTAAACGGGCGAGTGTAAAGTGAGAATCGTGAGAGAATCACCTTCGTGAGAATCAGGCCTTTTGCAGCCTTTCTGTTTCCGTTGCCCCTGTCTCACTCTGCAGGGGCTGTTTTGGCTTGTGTGGCCTGCAAAGTTGACCAAGTTCTTCATTTTGGAAGTTACTCATGAAACCTACAGCGCGCTGCTGAATCTGACCATGTAATCAGTAATTGCAATATTAGATTTTCTCTCTAAAATCACTCTGGATATTTTTCCATTAAAAAAAAAAAAAAAAAAAAAGTCCATGTAATACCAAAGGAGAATGATAAATCTTCCTAGAAAAAAACTCCATATGTATTGCAGGCTGGGCTTTTTTTTGTCTGCTCCAGGACTGTAAGATTTGCTCCAGAAAGCTGCAGCAGTGTTCAGGTTGCAGTAGTGTAGTAACATCAGGGCCCAGGACCCACACAGCGTGGTTACAGGGAGCAGTGCCCGGGAGGTGGCACCCATGCCAAGGTAAGGTGCTTGCTCGCAGCCGTGCCCACGTTTTCCTGCCTTCCCTGCAAAGCCCGGGCGTCACTTGTTGCTCGCTGCTGCGGCTTATTAGCAAGCCAGCAAGTTGCCAAAGTGGGCTCTTTATCTTGGTGACCTTCCGAGGCGCTCAGAGCCTTTCTTGGAAGACCTTGAATGGGGAATGTTTGGATACGAGAGGAAGGGCAGCGCACGGCACCCTGCTCCGAGCCACTCGGGTTCCCAGCTGGGGAAGGCACTGCACCGTGTATAACTGCAGCAGACAGCACCGAGATGCTGTGGCTGCTGCAGCAAGGTCACCGTGCTCTGGGATCCAATTAAAATTATGCAAGATAGGCAGTTTAGGGAAGAATTCACATCGGGTTCAGGAGGGGAAAAGAAAAAAAAAACATATAAAGTCATATGCTTTATGAGCTCAGTTACTTTGTACGATTCATTTTCCAATATCACATGATCGGGCAGTAAAAGTGCAAAGTATTTTAAGCCATTCATTTGCTTTATAGATCCGAACTGTCTGACTTTAGTTTCTAAGTCATGGTTGTAGGTTTGACTGGTTTCTGTATCGCAGCAGTGTCGTGGGCTTGCCTGGGAGCCTGTGGGGAACACGCTGCGATGGGTTGTGAGTTTAGTGCGTGAGCTTAAACTGAAGCTTAAACTCCCAGGACCTGCAGAGAGGTAACAGGGAACAACATGAGCTAGAGGGAATTGCCTTTTGCTGGACAACTTGGTGTGCTGGATGGGACTGTGATAGGCATGTTGCAGGTTACCTGCCCTGATTGCTACCTCCTGGTGGACAAGGGTAAGAGATTTAGCAGTCTGCTGCACTTGAACTGCTGTGCATATGCTTGTGTTTTGTAACCTCAGGACCTTTGCTGGGAAAGGGATTTCATGGGTGTTTTGAGCAAAGGTTTCCTTACAGATATTGCTGGACTCATCTCCTGCGTTGTATTAGGTTAGTGACTGGGCACTCTGAGTTCAAGCCCTTGTTATGCTGTCTGCAGCACAGAGTGGAAAGGCACCTTGCCTAAGGAAGAGCTCACAGTCCCAACAGGCGAGACGAAGAGGCGATTTCTTTAAAACCAGCTGAAGATTGGCTTGCAAACAGTGTGTTAGTGCCAATAGTTTCATCTCCTTTTTCTTTCCATCCCCTTTTCACTTCATAACTTTTCCTGAGAAAAAAAGCTAGTTAGCCGGGAAAGCTAACGGCAGAGGGACCAGAGATGCTCCAGGCAGCCCCATATGTCCACGTGCCCCCCTGTAAATCAGCGCTTGGCTGCAGCAAGGGTGGAAATAAAGCAAAGGGCTCAGAAAGGCCAGGCTGTCCCGTGCCCAGCCCAAGCGGTGGCGGCGGCAGGAGCTGTTGGGGCCAGCGGGAAGGGCTCGAGGAGCTGCCTCTCTGCTCCTGTACCTTCTTGATCCGCTTTGTGCTTTGTTTCCCCATGAGAAAGGCGCCTTCTGTGGACGCTGGAGCAGCAGAACCGCTGAGTCACGAGGTTTGCAACTTCTTCCCCCTCCGCTCGCTGTCTTTTATTTTTCCCCGCAGCGGTCACATCCCCTCCTTTCACTGCACCTTCCCCCTCCCCGTATGGTGCAGCGGGACATGCGGTGCCTTTAAGAAGACTGTGGCGTTTTTTCATTATTATTATTTTTGTTTTATTTGGAAGACTTAATTCCCGAGTGTTGGCATGTGCGCCGGCATGCCCTGCCTTCTGCAGTGGGGCTTGTGGGAAGCTGAAGTGCGTTCGCCTTGGGAGGGTTTAACTCTTCTCTGCCACAGCCTTTATGCCTCGCCTGCCAAAGAAGGGATTTCTGCTCTGTGCCTCCAGAGAGGAGGAGGAGATTTAATTAAATTAGTGGGATTTTTTTTTCTTTTTTTCAGTTTAAATTTATCTTCATTAAATTATTTTTTTAGATGGCAGTGCCCTGGTGAACAAAGCTGACATGGCAAATTCTCTAACCGGTGGTATCCTTGCACTTGCTTCACGATCACAACATTTTTTTTTTCCTTTTTTCTTTTTTTCTTTTTTTCTTTAAGCAAATACAGCCAAGCCCGTGTTCTGGGAGGAGCCTGCCCTGAATGTTTTCAGTGTTTGCAGCGGGCATCCACGGGTGCAGCATGTGCACTCAGGCGCTGCCTGCACCCACACACCTTCCAGCAGGTAGTGGCACCGTCACCGTGAGGAGCTTCTTGAAAGCTCTCCTTGTTTTGGGACACTTCGTGCACACCCTACCACTGCCATGCAGCGGCAGCCTGTAGTTTCTGGGGCGCTCGGCGCATACTCTTGTTCCTATGCGTTATCTTAGGCTTCCAGATAGCTCTAGGTGGATGGGTTGGGTCAGCCACACGGATTTCCCCCTGCACATGGGCTTCCCATGCAGAGTCACCTGCAGCATGCGGGCCCCATGGAAGGACCAAGAGTTTCTGTTAGAGATGGGCCTGTTCTCCTGAGGAGGAAGGTTTCAGAGGAAGGCAAGGTGCTCGAGGCAGCACTGGGTGCTCCTTCCATGCTCTGGAGATGATGGCTGCTCTTCGAACACACCGTTCGGCCTTTGAGCTGTGGGTTTCTTCTGCCGAAGGTGGTGATAGGGGCACTGTGGAGGGGTTTAACTGAATTAAGGTAACAGGAATTTACAGTTTCACCTCTGGAAATGTGCCGAGCATAAGAACTTTGAGCTTTTTACCCTCATGCCCAAGAGGTGCTCAAGCTGAGCTCCTAGATGACCAAGAGGTCAAGGAAGTCCATGGACAAGCAGCATGATGCCAGGGACAAGTAGTGCACTGTAATGGTGGGTGCAGGTTACCCGTGCTCAGATTGATGTCTTTTGCCCTAAATTGTCCTGTTTTCTGCAGCCTTGCCTGGTGCATCTTAGGTTGGCGCAGCAGCTCCCTGGGCCACCTGGGCAATGGGAAGCCATCCCATTGCTGGCAGTACAGCCATAGATTGTTGTGGCTGTTTTCCTTTGGCTGACGTGTCTGTTATGAACCGGTGTTTGTTCGGCTGAAGGGCTGAAACATCTGGAAGGGACAAGGGAGGACAGTGCCTTGGCACACAGGGCTGACTGGGAGCCCTGGATCCCTTTGGAAGCGTGTGGCTGGGTGCCGCCTGCCGCACGGCTCATCCGTCTGCTCCGGGGTTTTGCTCTGGGAAGGACAAGCAGCAAAAAGCTCCTGCAAGCAGCAGCACAAAGCTACTGCTGATACTGAAACCGCCCCGAGTGGCGAATGGGTTTTTCCTCAGATTGGGGGAAATATGTGAAGTAAACATTCGTGTAAAACAAGCTTAGCTGAGTTTTGACGAAAAATGCAGGTTCTCTGGTAATTTAAGCATTGAGGTATTTGGACACGAGCAAATCCAAACCTAGCCTGGATCTTGGCAGCAGATTGTCACAGATAAAAAGAAGGAATAAAAAACAGGGGCAGGGAAAAGGAGCTGGAAGTTCCCCTCTATTCCAGCCACCTTGCATGGACCAGAACCGTACTCTGCAAAGAGTCCCAGTAGCTTTTACCAGGACAAACGCAGCCACACGCCTTCAGAAAGAAGTGCCTCTTACACCTGGTCTCGCTCTACCGCAGATTTTTTATTTCTTCAGAGCAAGCTAAGAACTGTATTTTCACACAGCTTCCCCGCTTCATTCAGCTCTAGTGTCACAGTTGGAGAGAGAGCAGGTTTCCTTTGATGTTCAGGCGCCTCTTGCAGCGTTGAACGGCGCCGCGAGTCGTGCGGCCGCTGCCGCACTTCAGAAAGGGCAGAGCTTTTTAACGCCCCGCCAGGAATTCCTCGGAGCCTCCAACCCCGGCCTCCGCTCTTCCTTTCCCCGTTGCGTTGTGCGTTTTTATTTTAGTTATTTATTTTGAACACCTCCCGCGTGGTGGTGGTTGGTGGCGAGCGCGAGCAGCCTCCGAGTGGCCTCCCTCACGGGAGCGGGCGAGCGTGCCGTGTCGCAACGAGCCGGCGCGCGGGCGGTTATGAAACTTTCCAATAAACCCTCCGTGTGTCAGTATCGGTTGCTGGGAGTGGGTTCTTTCTTTTTTTAACTTTTGGGTGTGTTTTTTTGCCTTTTCGCACGTGGTTTCGCCGCGGGGCCCCGGGGGCGGCTGTGGGGCCGCGCAATCCCCTCCCGGCAGCGCCGGCCCCACGCGGGGGGCGGCTGTGGAGCGAGGCCCTCCCGATGCTCCAGGCGCCCGCGCGGCTCCCAAGTTTTTTTGTGTTTTTTTTTTTTTTTTTTTTTTTTTTTTTTCCCCAAAGGCCTGGAGAAATTATTAACTGCAGCTCGTGACGTCAGAGCTGATCTGATTAAAGGTTTGTTTTCTTGCTGGCAGAGGTGTGCTCCCTGGAGGACTGGTTCTCTCTTCTCTCTCTATTTTTTTTTTCTGTTTTGTTTTTTCTCTCTCTTTTTTTTTTTTTTTTTTTAAGTGTCTCTCTCTTCTCGACCAGCAGACGGAGAGGAGCGGAGCGCTGGCGCTGCCGCCGCCACCGCCGGGGCGGCGCGTGTGTGTGTGTGCACAGGATGGTGTAGCTGTAGCTGCCCCGCCGCGCAAGCACGCGTTTGACCATGAGGACTCTTCGCAGGTTGAAGTTCATGAGTTCGCCCAGCCTCAGTGATCTGGGCAAGCGAGAGCAGGCAGCCTTGGATGAGCGGGGGAGCCAGCAGCGCCGGGCCTGCTCCAACGCCACCTGGAACAGGTAAGGAGCCCGCGGCGCGCGCCACGGGCACGGCGAGCCCGAGCCCCTCACGAGCCCGAGCGCTGCTGGTCTGTTACAGCTGTGGGCGCCCCACTGATCCCAGGCTCGCAGGTGATCCCCGCAGGACAGAGCCAGCTCGGTTCCACCTTGATGTAAACACCTCCGTGTGTGTTTGTGTGTATATGTGTGTGCGCGCTTGGAACAAGGCAAGGTAGCCCATGCTGGTTTGCTTTGCTCTGTTTAAAAGTTAGAATTCTCTTTATGTCAGACACCACCTCCCTCCCCCCAAAAAATAATCAGGAAACCATTCATTTTCTGGTGAATCACTTATTCATCAGAGGAATTCTTTCTGAGTTTTCACCCTCACAGCCTTTCCAGTGACATTCGTCTTTTGAAGATATGCCTAAATCTTCCGTGTGTCCTTAGGAATGGCATTCTTTGGTCCTTTTGCAAATGAAATGTCATTTCCTGGCCCAGCTAGCTTGGAAGGTGTCACCCGTGATGTTTTGTAATTGTTTGGAGATCCGGGTGTGGGAGGGAAAGTATCAGTGAATTATAGATGTGCTTGGTGAAAGTGTTTCCATTCTGAGCAAAACAGAAGTAGAAAATACTCCGTCTTCTGTCCCTCTCACTTCAGTAGTTGCACTCTGAGACCTTTATTATGAATTATTTGTTAGATGCCAGCAGCACACTGATAACTTAAACTATTCTAAGCACTAAAAAGTTGCTGTTCAGTGTATCTCGCTGCTTAAATAACCCAAGGATGCTCCAGAGGTGCTAATTAAAGGTCCGTGCTCCCTGGCCTCATGTCAGTCAGTCCCTTGCTTGGGCAGCTGGAATCAGCAGGGGATGAGACACTGTGTGGTGGGAACCAAGGTGCCAGAACGTGATCCTCAGATCTTCCTTCTTGGTGCCCGTGTGCTGGAGCTGGATAAGCACGCCAGCTCCCATGGGATCGAGTGAGTGGCCAAGGAAAGGCCGCCTCATTTGGAAATGGAAAACATTCCCCTTTTCCTTGCTATCTACAAGGAAACTCAAATCCCTGAGGCTGCGACAAGTCACGCGGGTTATGGAAGAGTTGCGCTGCGTGGAGCCCAGCGCAACTCTTACTTACCCAGCACAAGGTTTTCCCCAGTGGGAAAACCTTGGAGATCCAGGAGGTCCCTGCGCCCGGTCCAGGCAGAGCCGTGGCCCGGCACCCTTCACCACAGCTCGCGGAGTTCACATCGGATTAAAATAGCTGGGATTTTTTTCACTCATGTTGTCTTTGATTCCTTTCTTTTCTTTTTTCCCCCAATCCAGCTTCAGGCGAAAAGCAAGGGCTGAAAGCTGACTGAGGCGACCCAGTGGGTCGAGAAGCGTGGGGTGTTTCATCTTTAGCCCACCAGCCAGAGGGGCCGAGGCAGATGAAATCCCTTGGGAGTTTTTCCCTGCCCCAGCCAGGCTTGGGAAGGCTACTAGTGAAGGACACTGAGGTCCCTTCTGGTGCGAGGAAAGGGAGAAGGCCTGTGCGAGTGGGAGATAGCGAGGAAGAGGCGAAGAAAATAGATCCGAGATGCCTGTTCCCTTAGTGAGGTTAGCAGTAAATCCAAGGAGGCACACGCAGTCAGAAAGGGTGTTACGGATCGGGCTAATTCTTACAGGGCTGTATTATGCACAATAGCTTGCTGTAAATTAATTTTTACAGTCATGGGAACCATATCTCCTCTGCTAATTAAAAAGGAATGTTTGCTCGGATCACGGGGAGGTGTTCCGAATGGAGAAAACATCGCCGGCTGGTGCATTTATCCAATACTTCTACTAGGAAATGCTCTTGTTTCCAATATTCAGCGTTTGCTTGGAAAGCCCCCTGTCTGCCTGGGCACCAGCTGCTGCTTTTTGGCTTTCCAAGTGCCTTCCTCTTGGGAGGAGGGACCGTGACATGAAGGGACTCGGCTGGCGGCAGTGACCGCTGTGCATGGAGCACGTGCCGGCCTGGACTGTGGTGACAGAAACAGGGAGAGGAGCCAGAGTTGCTCCTAGGCCCTCCAGACGTCCCTGCGCTTGGGCATGGCTGTATTGGAAGCCAAAATCTTGCTGCACGGAGGCATTAGCTCCCTGGAACACCTCTGGGAAGGCTTCACCTGTCTCAACTCTACAGCAGCAGTGTTTATGTTTGGCAAGGCTCGTGATGGATTCACGTCTGCAGAGCCTTTTGAAGGCTGTGGGCTTGGCAGGCTCCGTGTGTTTTCACTTGTACGACGCTGCTGCGCCCAAGTTGTGGCCCATCCCTCCTCGCGGACTCTTTGACCTTGAGGAGGAATTTGGGAGATGAAAGGCACTTAGAAGCTGAGATCTTGTTTTGAAAAGGATGGGGCCTCATGGAAAACCTGGAGGATCCCACCGGGACAATAACTTGTGGGCAGTTCAGAAAATGGGGTTTTCCAAACTGGGTTGAGTTAATTTGGAAAAGCGGGTTTTTATTCTGCAACAAGAGTGTCTTCGAGGAGGCTTAGATGGGTTAATTATTGATATATTTATTAGCTGATCTGATAAATATCCAAATAAGATGAGCTGTAAGCCGCATAGTCCCTTCTGAAACTGTTGCCCTTCATCTCTGCTGTGCTGGTAACGTGTGATTATTCACATAGGCCTGGTTTTGCTCACTGACTCTTTGCTTGCAGCTCTTTAAACAATAGGATTTGCAAACAGTAAACAAAAATGCCGTGGTGTTTTCACCCGTGCTGTTTGCATACGAAGGTGGTGACTGCTTTAGAGAACAAAAACTGCTTATGCACAACACGCAAGAAAAACCTTGGCTCACACCACCTGCTTGTCCAGGAGATAACAGCCTGAGAGCACCAGGAGCCTGGTCAAAACAAGCAGGGGCTCCAGATTCGGACAGAGATTTGCAAGCCCAGTTTTGCAGTTGTTCCTCAGCTCGGTGAACCAGCTGTTCCCGCGCTGGCAGAACGCAGTGCTGTAATCACCAGAGCTCCCCTGCCCAGTTCCTTTGAGCTGCCAGTGGAAGGGCCACTTAAATGCCAAGGGGGACAGACACCTCCTGCTTAGAGGAGGCGGTGGCACCGGGCAGGTGGCTGGGGACCCAGCGAGGTCTGTGCTTCGGTGCTGCCAGGTGAGTCAGGCAGTGGTTGGCGTGGCAGAAAAGTCATCCCCACCCTCCCGTCTTGGCACGCGGGCCGTTCCGCCGCCTTGGAGCGTCAGCGGAATGGGTCGTAGCTGGCGCTCGCGTGCGGGTTGGGTGTTTGCACCCCAGTACGGCACCTCTCCCTTCCTGTGGAATAGGTGCCTGCGGGAACCACACACAAACCAAAAGCGTTCCTGGCCCTGCTTGTAGAAGAGCAATCTGTAGAAGAGCAATCGACCTGATCAGCGTGTATAAATACCTCAAGGGAGGCAGTGAGGAGGAGGGGGCGGCCTCTTTCCAGTGGTGGGCAGGGATAGGACTAGAGGAAATGGCTTCAAACTGAAGCATCGGAAGTTCCACAGGAACTTAAGGAAGCATTTCTTCACTGTGAGGGTGACAAAGCACTGGAACAGGCTGCCCAGCGAGGTTGTGGAGTCTCCTTCTTTGGAGATCTTTAAAACCCGCTTGGATGCAGCCCTGTGCCACGTGCTCTAGGTGACCCTGCATGAGCAGGGGGGTTGGACTCGATGACCTCTGAGGTCCCTTCCAACCTTCGGCATTCTATGATTCTATGAAGAGGCTGGGGCCTGATCTCCATGGGAGGTTGTGACTTAGCTCAGTAGGTGTGGGCAGTTCAGGGACAACTGTTGCTTCTTCCTGAGCCCTTTTGGGAGTGGGCTCTTTTTGTGTCCTCTGCTCTGCTTTCTTGTGCCTGGTGATCACACATTTACACAGCCACTGCATGCAAGACATTCATAGCACTATGGGAGCAAGAGTGCACCCATTATGAACCTGCATGCTGTAGAAGAGTTGCAGAGGAGAGTTTATAAAGCATTTCCAATTTAGGCTGAACTATTCACGTGCAAGCTTAATGACATCCCTTAGGACCTAAGCCTCAGCAGAGGCTGGTGGCAGACGCAGGTTAAAGGAGATGCAGCCACCTCGGGCCCCTTGCAGGACTTTGGGTGGAAGCAGCAGGTAAGGGCTCCCTGTGGGCACAAGGGGCCTCTTTTCCAGCTCCCGCAAAAACCCAGGGCAGGGGAGCGGGTGACAACCAGGATGCTTTAAGCAGGTGCAGCTCTGCTAAAGGCCAGCGCTTAAGCACTTGCAATCTGTCCCAGCCACCTCTTGGTGGCTCTTTCTCCAGGGAGCAATAAGGGACCTGTAGGGCCCCTTGGAGAGGAGATCCTTGCCCTCATTTAGGAGAGTGCAAGAGAGGGAGCAGCCCGGCTGCCAACAGGGACTTACTCATTCTTGCCTCCAGCAGGGCAGCAGGCAGCATCACAGAGCTGCTTTCCAAAGCAGAAGAGCGTGTGAAGGCTGCTTGTTCGCTCCGCTACGTTAGTCGGCCTCCGCGTGCTCCTCATAATGTTAAACGCACCCGAGTCACTTTGTAGCGAGGCTTTTAGCTGCCGCTTCTGAAGGAATGGTCAGTTTGAGCCAAACCAGGCTGCCTTGGATTGCTAGTGCATGTGTGGAGTGTATGGCGGGAAGAGGGACCAGGGTGCCAGGAGATTCTGCTGCCAGGGAGGGCCAGGGGATGTGTCCGCCCTCACAGCATCCCCTCAACACATCTTGCACCTGCAGGGCTCCGAGCTGGCAAGGACAAGTCTTGCTGTGACCCCCTGGCCATGCCTTGGGCTTGCAGCACGCTGCTGGATGCGACTGAGCCCTGCCAAGCTTCCCTGCCTGCAGGAGCCTGGCTTCCTTCGGTAGGTTTCTGCTGAGCCAAACTCACCTTTGGCTCTTCGCAAGAGGTGTCAAACCCAAGTCCTGGTCCCTTCATGACGGGCAAATCTGGCCCAGGTTTCTCTTTCCAGGGCTCAAAAGCTGCTTTTTGCTGCATCTTACTCGGCTCCAGCACTGCAAGATCAGGGGAGGCTGCTGCAGAGCTTGAAGAACGGGATTGTGGAGTTGCTAGCAAAATCTTGGGAGAAGGTGCATGGCACAGTTAGGATTTCCTGAAGATATTTCACGAACTACCGTAGGGGTGACTTCTCCCACTCCAGCTGAGACGTAAAGAACTTGATATTTTATGAACTTCAGCCCTGGAGTCAAATGTGGTAGAAGCTGAGTTGAGGAACGGGGATTAACTGACAGATGGAAGTGCTGCATGAGTCTTATTTCTGGAGGAATCAAAGCTGAAATCTGGTGTGAGGCTATAAAAGACAGCGCTAGGCTGAGGAAGAGAAAGGAGACTTCTGTTTCCTCCCGCTATTTTAAATTCCGAATTCTGGGCAAGTCTTTCAGAGCTTGATCTTGAAGCATTTGCTCCTTTCATCGACCCTTGGAGGTGCAGGGACCATGGGACTGTCCTGGGCAGCACGTGACACCTGGCAGGTTTTTGCTGTTTGGCATCCTAGGAGTCCCCGGGCTGGTAGCCACACACAGCAGTGGGAGTGTTGGATAAGGGACTTGGTGCTGTTGCTCCGGGGAGTTTTGTCTCCATCCTGCCTTGAGTTGCTACCGACTGCAGCAGAAAATCACTGCCTCCAAGCAGGGTCTGCTTACAGAGCGGGTACAAGCAGCTTTGAAAGTGAAAAGGGAGCGTTTGAGCAGGGCAGATGGTTGGAACAGAGCTCCGCTGTGCCCAGGCCTGGCACGTCACCTCCTCTGCTGATGTCTCCGCTGCAGAAGCTCTCCGCTCTTGCTCTTTCAGCTCAGTCTGGCTTTTCCTGCAGGCACAGCAATAGCTTAAATCTGTGAGAAATGAATGAATGGTGATGGTAATCAATTCTGGGTTTTGTAATCAATTCCGTGGTAAACTACACCCCTTTTTTATTATTTCACTTTGGGGAATGGTTGAGAGAATGAATAAATTGCCCTAAAAAGTGGACATTGTCTGTTTTTTCTTTCAAATTTTTAAAGAACTAAGCATTCTTGTTAAGCGCCATTAACTGTGTCCTGGTAAAGGAATGCTCGGTTGTGAGTTGAACTTTATACGTAGTGTCCAGACTTGATAAATGCTGATTAGTCGTTGGAAAGTCACGTAACCACAGTTCAAACAAACATATGCCAGCAGGGTAAAAAATATCATCATGGATCTCATAGTGAAGCTGTGAATTGTTTCTATAGTGAGACTTTTATTTTACTTCAAGTACATGAGCTCATGTTTTCTGAGATGCCTGATCTTTGAGGTGCAACTTTTGAAGTTACCAAGTTGGGATATATCAAAAAGAAGTGATTTTCCAAAATGGTGTCTGTTTTCTGGAGAGTGATCCCATGAGGACTTTGACCTTATCTGAGGTGGAGTACCAGCAATCACCTACAACTTTGTAAAAGATCTTAAGAGGCTTCTGGAAAGAGAAGTTTGTCTTCTCCTGGACATCACGCCTTTCTCGGACGTAACGAGGTGCTAACATCTCCTCCCTTGCTCTTTCAGTATCCATAACGGAGTAATAGCAGTGTTCCAGCGGAAGGGCCTCCCGGACCACGAGCTGTACAACCTCAATGAAGGAGTCAGGTGAGTAGCTCTGCTGGAGTTACCCAGAATGTTATCAGCCAGCTTGCACAGTAAGTGGAGTTTGCTAGCGTTCGTGCTCCCAAATTTCTGCAGCAATATTGTGGATTGCTTTCCTGGTGGGATGCGTTTCAAGCAGAAGCGTTGACTTGGGTTTTGTGGATAGTCATCATTGATGTGTGTCAACACATAGTCCTTTCCCTAGCTGCTAGGCCTAGCCATGGGAAGCATCCCTAATATCTGTGGAAGCTGTAGAGCCTCCCAGCTGTGACATGATGCCGAAAGAAGTCCTGCCTCAGGTCTAGCTTCTCTTTCCATGCAGGCAGAATACGGCAGAGATGTTACACAGCTGTCTTGTCAGCACTATCATCTGGAAAACACAGCTTCAGGTTCCCATTTCTTCCTCAAACAGTGCTAAAACGGCGTTTTTAAGAGAATAGAGAGTGAGGTATAAAATGGTGTATTTTTTTCTTAAAAAAAGAAAAAAGGATGGTAAAAAGACATTTAAGTTAGAGATGCCGAGAGCTACAGTGGTCTCTGGATTTACAGCATTTTAACAGTGCATGTTATTACTGATTAAACCCCTCTTGCTGACAAGGCCAAAGGTTTCCTTGACCATTTGACAACTTGTCCCAGCACTTGGAAGAATAGTGACATGACAGTTTGAAGAAGCACTCCAGAAGACACACAGCTTAATACGTTCCCTAGCAATCTTCAGATAAGACTCTCAGTGATTGCCTTTCCCTGCCACTTTTTCCCACTGCAGCTGGGACCAGGTTGCCTGACAAAATCCATAGAATACCCAGAAAGCACCAGCCCAACCAGGTTCCTTTAGCTATAGGAATGTCTTCAGAGAAGTCCAAGCAAATGACATATGGCTTGTGAGCTCTTTCTTTTCCCTTCTCCCTTTCTCTTTTTTAAATTAAAACGAACTCATTCTTCAGCTGGGGGAAAATGACAGATACAAATGAAGAGCTTTTCTGGGGTGACTGTCAGTGAGTGTGATCCATCAATCACTTTGGGTTGGTTATTGGAATAATGGTCGATCGTTACTGCTGTAAGTGCGGTTTGGATTCTCCAACTTTCTCCAATGGATGAGAAAGTGCCATGCTGGGCTGAGGCTTCCTGGCCCGATGTGTCTGCCTCGGGATCCTTGCCTGCTGAAGAGAATATATATAAATATATAATATATATAATGCTAGAGAGCTACTTTCACAAACTAGGCATCCGTGGCATAACCCTGGCCAGGCTAAAACCACAGCAGCCTTTCTGCTGCTTAGGATTTTTCTTCCTCTTACATCCAACTTAGCCCAAGCATCCTTCCCATTTACTACCAAACTCTGTCCTTCCTCCCAGTGACTGCATGGAGTTTGTTTCCAGAGCTCCCATGTGAGTATCCCGCTTGATGGTTATTCATACAAACAGTGAAAATGACAAAGAACAGAGAAAATGAGAAAGCTGCAAGTGGGCTAAGAGGACAGGGCAGACAGCTGGGAGGTCTGTCGCAAGAGGAAACCACAACACTGGTATTTTTAAGCGTGCTTGTTCACACGTCCAGCTGCAGCTGCTGTTCAAAAGCTGCATTCCCTCAGCCTGCTACGTTTTGTGGCTGACCATGGGCATTAACCTTTTTAGCACTCCTGACTATTTACAACTGAGGTCCTTCTTCCTCACTTGAATTCAAAACTTAAAGAAGAAATTACTGATTTCACAGCTATATGAAAAAATGTATATATTTAGTAGTAGCTGTTGCTATATTATTCAAAGCAGTTTGTTTGGGTTAGTATTATTATTTAATACAAAAATATCAGATTCATGAATATGATTTGAAGTGGAAGAGGTGCAAAAATCTGTACTTGCCCTCTGTTTTAGATGCACATTTTCAGCAGATTCCTACATAAAAAGAAACGTTATACCTGTTTTTTCCACAGAACAAAATTGGAGTGTGTAAATGTTCAGGTAAATGGCTGATACTGCTGACTTTTTTTTTTCTTTACTGGGTAGTAAAATAAGCTATTTTGTTTTATCTATTTAACTGGAGCAGATTGTGGGCTGATTTTCATAACTTAACCTTGAATCTCTTAAATTGAACCGCAGACTAAATACTAGTATTTCAGCAGTAATGTTATGTCTGCAGTGTTTGTGCATCTTCCCTTTGCCTTGTTAATGTCACATATATCCAACTACTGTGTCATGCATGTGCAAACGAATACTTACATACGTGACTTGGTTTTCTGCACACACATCTAGAGGCTTCTCACTCTGCAAGGGTTGTTTGCTAAGAGATCAGGGGCTGCCAGCGTGTGCGCTGCCGTTTCCTTCTGCTTTCGTTCTGGCTGGCACAAGCGCAGGTGCCTCTTCCTCTGCAAACGTGTGATCTGCTCTTCCGCCCCGTCCCCAAGGGGGACAGAAAATAAACGTGTGCCGTACAGGGTGTTTATGCAGCTCTTTTTTTCCTATTTTTTGAGATCATTGTTTGCCCTGCAGGGTTAGGCTTGTAGGGGTAGGAATCGGGGGTTAGTGTGGTTGGTGGGTCGGTTGGTGTTGCTTTGATCCCATGATCTATGAACTACCCCTCTCTAAAATTTCTGCACCGATAGAAATGACAGAACACACAAGTGATTCCCATAGAAATGACAGAACACACAAGTGATTCCCCCTCATCCAATGCAAAAAAAATGATGCAGTCTAATTGAAAGTTTTAATTTGGGTCCTCTTGCGCAGGAGAGATGTTAGGAGGTCCCGAAACACAATGCACAGCACACACAGAGACAGAAAGGGGAAAAGGGCATTCATGGGACTGGAAGAAGTTGTAACTAAAATGGCACACATATATCAAAGATGTAATAATCCACTGTGCTTGGCATTCATCACAGTATCTAAATGCTGCTGCAGCACAGAGCAAAAAATACCCAGTCTCATTTACACCAGTGGTCCCTGGTGTTGTGTAACTCTAGCATTAGAAAGTGGCCTTAAATTTGGGGTTACATGCAGCATGGGAAGCCCTTCCACCAGTAAAAATGGGTATGTAATTTTCAGATTGCTCTCACTGCTGAATAACTGTGCTGAATCTGAAGCTAATGGAGTGCAGCAAGGTGGTGAGAAGCTATTCTGATAACAGAGGTTGTCACCGGTGTTTGTCCAAATATAACTTCTCCTGAGCCTTCGCTGTGTAATTTAACTGGGGATTGGCCAAGAAGCTTATTATGGTTCGTTATGTTTTCCTTTTTAACAATGCAGCTAATTCAAAGCTAACCGAAAACCAAGGAAGAAAAAGAAGGATAGGGAGACCCAAAGGAAGCAGGATGTCCTGTATTAAGACTAATACATATTTATAGCTGCCTCTCAAGTTTCAGGATATTGGCTCGATGCAGACAAAGCACATTTTATTGTCATTTCCTCTTTCGTATCAAGAGTTCAGTCTCAGTAGAACCACTTCATTTTGCTTTATAATCTAATAGCTAATAAAGTCAGATATGTGCAGTGCTAGGCTTTCCGTTATTATTTCTCGAATAATGCTTCAAGAGTTAATTTCAGAATGAATCAAAGACGCAGCAACAGGAAGATACCACCTTAATTTGTAAAGTCATTAAATAGACAATGAAGACCTGATACCAGTGGACAGCAGAGTCGTAAGAGCACAAAGTAGCTCTCAGGAAAACCAGATGCACTTAAAACCTGGTCCCATATCTGACTGGGAATCTTTCCTTTGCTCTAAGCAGCTTCTCACCTGGATTTCACCACTGATACCCCTATATCTAGGGGAGGTTACTTGGTAATCAGAATTATGCAGAACTGGATAGATGACATTACAACTACACTGGGAATAAGCAGGAGGATCTGGAGTGCAGAAAGGAAAGCTGGTGTTTGGAAATCACCTGCTGGAGGCAAAGGCAAATCTAGGCTTCAAAGAGGTCTTCGTCTGTGGAAAGGGCAGAAGCTTAAACAAAGTCTGAGAGTACAAAGTATTGGTCAGTATTCCTTTGTTTCATTTATTCATTTATTTTTGAAACAATGACACAAGAAGGGCGTCAGCATCAAATTGTATTGGTAAATGAATAAGATACTGTATTTTGGCCTCGTAAAAGGTGGCCTTTTTCTCCTGGCCCTGAATTGTCAGAAGATCTCAAGATGATTAACCTTGCAGTGTTGTAAACATCAGGGTCCTGTGGATTTTTTCCTGGAAGCGTAGGGACATGTTTGGCCTTGGAAATAAGGCATATCTTATTTCTTGCCAGTTAAAGAATATGATTCTTTGCTTATTATTTGAAGGATAAAACTTTAAGAGTTAGATGATGTCATACACCAATTATATGTTTTACATAGCTACACAATTGATCACAGGGTTTGGTGGCCTAATCAAAGTGTATCTTAAATAGATTTTAAATACATACATAGATGTATGCATTTGAAATATGAGTATTTTTTAAAATAGATTTAGATGTAATAAAATGGATTCTAGATTTAGATTAAATAATTTTTAAACATAATTTTCATAGCTTTTAAGTAGAATTTTAGCTTGTTTCCTGTGGTTACCTGAGGTGATTCTAAAAAGACAGGTTTTGAAAAGAGCTCAATGCCAGATGTGCAAGTGTACAGAAAACCCAGCCCAGGCTGCATTTTTATAAGGCCTGAGCTCTCATTTAGGCACATAAATGATGACCTTGGTACAGAGAAGTGCTAAACATCTAGCATCCAGCATGGGAGATAGGACTGACCTACAGCTCTTCAGCAGTGCAGTGAGTTTTGTCCAGGTACAGCGTTGGAGCTTGGCCATCTGCTTGAATTCAGCTGCTGAATTGTTGGAATTTTCTTGCATGCGGGTTGCTGTCTGATTAGGGTTTTTTTGGTTTAGTGCAGAGCACTAAATAGAGAGCTAAACTCTTCAATTTCCATTTGCTTTTTCACTAAAACCATATGAAACTTCAGCTGGCTCGGATTGTGACAAGGTTCAGGCCTGTGACAAAATCCACAAAATACTGTCAAGTTTCGGGTTTCTCGGCACATTTTGTCCCAGCTCTCACATTTTGTAGGGCAGAGATGATTCCCCCATGGGCTCATTTCAGAGGAGCTGGGTGCTCCTTGCTCCTGCGTCCCTACATATTGGCATACAGTGCAAAGAGCTCTCCCACGTCTGGAGCGTGAGGCACTGACCAAGCAGAACAACTGGGTGTTTGTGAGAAGGTTCTGTCTTTGTCAAATCTCCATTTCTGCTCAACTGAACCATCTCAAAGCAGAGCAGATGGGTTTTCCACACGTGGAGATGCTGGCTGATGCTTAACCTGTTTGTTATGCTTCTGGAGTCTCTACTCATATCCAGGTATTTTGCTGTCAGTGACTCCCTCTTTTCTATGTGCTCCACCTTTATGATGATCTGTTGATTACATAGGTCCTATTCTTATTCCTCTTCATTACAGGCAATTATTGAAAACAGAACTGGGATCCTTTTTCACCGAATATCTACAGGTAGGCATGTGCTTTCTTTCATTCAGGAATTCATTTTTTAATAATCTCCGAGGAGAATTGTTTCACCCAGTGTAAATGCTCGTTGAAGCCCTTTGAAATCAGTTGAAGATTTCCACTGTTTTTGCTGTGGTCTGCATTAGGCCCCGTGTGTCATTTCTGGAGTGATTCAATTTGGATTTTCTACCTGTAGGTGTGCATGTATATATGAATACCTATAGTTAGATAATGAAAACTCAACCAGTGGAATAGATGTATGAAGCCAATGTTTTTTTTTTTTTTTTTTTTTAATGAAATTGCTGTCTTTTGATGTATTCCAGACATTTTCTTTTAGCTTTAAAATTTAAGCTACTGAATAAAGCTGTTCAGTGCAGTATAGTAAATAGGAAAGCCATGCAATAATCAGTAAACATTGTCTGTTAAAGTGCAACATCCTTTCTACCCAGGTAAGACTAACTATGTGCTGTGTGGGTCAGTCATCTGCGGGCTGTAAAGCCCTCTATATAGCTCAGAACAGGGGCTGAATTCTGCAAGTGTTAGGCAGTTATATCATCCTTTCACAAGAGTCCCAAGGGATTTAAGTGTGATGGATGAGGAAGGAACAGCCGTTTGATGATTGCTTATTAGAATGTAAGACCCCTGTTTTTGAATGTTAAGGAAGAATGGATTGGTAAATGTGATGGCTACAGGGTAGTATAGGACTGAGTAAAGGCAATTTATATTTCATTTACAGAATCAGCTGCTTACAAAAGGCATGGTGATCCTACGGGACAAGATCCGGTTTTATGAAGGTAATTTGGATTTTAGCATGGCTCTCTGTGTCTTTCACAGGTGCGGAAGCCTTCTCAAGGCAGTGACACTGTTTTCAACCCATTCCTTGGATTATGCATTAATTATGTCAATTCATTCCTGCAATCTACAGTCCTGTCCTGCCTTAATGTTCCCATTGGCTTTCCTCAAGGAGACGTGATTGCTTGGTGCAGCAGCTAGGGAATAAGGGAAAAATTACCTCCATTGGCTTTCTTCAAGGAGAGGTGATTGCTTAGTGCAGCAGCTAGGAAATACAAGGAAAAAAATGCCTCCAGCTTGGATGATCTCTATAGCTCCAATTATAGCCTTAAGGAAAAGTGAAAGAATAGAGTGAAATATCTTAATTAACAAAAACCTGAGCGCTGCAGTCCCGGTTAGATGAAATGTCTGGTTAAGTCCAGAATAATGCTGTGCTCATTGTTTTTAGAGTTATTCTGGATTCGTGCACTCATTAATGAGGCCAGAAAGTGGCTTGTTTCACTGCCGAGGCCCCATTTGTCAGTCTGCACGTTATGGAGGTGTCACTGTAAAGAAGTCAGCAACAAGAAGATTGCTTTTATATTCCAAGTGGCAAAGTCCAAATTAAAAAAGAAATAATCCAGGGGTCGAAGTTGAGAGTATTAATCACTTTCTGCTTTTTTACTTGAATCTGGGAAAATCTAGAGAAGTGTGTTCATTAGAATTAGTCCAGACTGACAGAGTTATCGCTTGTCACTCAATATCTTCTTGTTGATGCCCTCATTCCCCTGCTTGTTAGTGCCAGTGCTGGAAAAGACACTGTCAGGTTCACTTTTTGAGTGAGACTATCTAAACACAGGAAGAAAGTATTGCCCAAATGTGTTAAAGCATCAGTAGAAATTTAATGTGGGCAAATACTTTCTGCTGGAGTCCCTTGCAGCGCTGCAGCCCCCCTCATTTCATGTCCTCTGCGACTGCACAGTGTTTAGATGTGCTATTAAATATACTATTTCATCCTAGATGCAGTTATATGTTGTCAGTGAGCCAAAGGATGTCTGAATATTTTATAAGATTATTGTATGGGTAAATTATTTGAGGATCTTTAGGGAATCTGCGACGATTCTGAAGAAATGTAGCTTTCCTTTAGCTTCTAGGGCCACAGTTATAATTCTGCTTAGTCTAAATGTACTGTTTTAGCACTAGCCTGGAGACAACCATTCCCCTTAGTTACAGCTATCTGTAAATCTTAAATGTGACCTTTCCTTACTGTCAGTACAGCTGATTGGATCAAGACGATGCTGTGGGACCCACGTTTTCTCATGAAAAGAAAATAGCCCTGAACACAGCAAAAAAGAGCCCCCATTTCACATTGCAAGTACTCAAACGCTTCTAAGCTGAACACAGAGTTCCTCAATTATATAAAATAACAGCTTGGAGAGCACAAGGGGAGCGGAGCTGCAAGGACTGCAAGGCCTTCACAGCTGCTTCACAGATCACAAAGGAAGTTGTCTTTAAGTGTCATATTGACAAATTAACTCCAGAAAACCACTACATTCCTATCCTCTTTTCTTCTATTTTTACCAGCTTGGATATCAAAATACTACCTCTGATATTTGAAATCAAAGCTGACAAGACAAACTGAAATGTCAGGCCACTCTCAAATATAGGAGCATGTTTAGCACAAAATAAAGTTTCAGCAAGCTGTTGAAGTTTATTTTGGTTTTGAATTCAGTGTATCCTCTTCTGGCCTCCCCTTAAAATGTGGTCAGAAATGCTAGGGATGTGATGATTAAATTACACACGTATTTTCCAAGTGCTTTCTTGCTTGCAAGTGTCAACTCCCCAAAACTGGAACGTTTTAGAAGGATAGCTAATTGGGGATTGAAATTGAGGCTTCTCATAACGTGGTTGATGGATGTGGGTCCATCAGGCTGGAGGCAGAGCTTGCTGCCTGCAATGGTGCCACCACTGCAGGGTTCCTCCTGGGCTTGGTGGCCCCATGACTTGGACCTCCAAAATACTGCAGTAAAGTTGGGAACGTGGAAATCCTGGGAATTCCTCTCCAAGCAGGAGTCCCCCTCCTGGTGCTCTACTTGTGCTTCAATTAAATGAGCATTTAGATGTCCCCAGCTTCCTTGAATGCCATACTTACTTATGGTAAGTGTAGGCATCTTTGCCTGACAGTAAAACAAACCTATTCTTGACCAGACCCAGAAGTCACATTCCTCTGTGTGAAAGATGCTGATCATCTACAAACTCTGGGGATTTTTGCACAGCCCACAGCAATAGGCCTGCCTGGGAAAAAGCAGTTAACTGTGCAGCCTTTCTGAGCTGCTGCACAGAAATCCATCGCTTTACAAAACAAACTGCCCACAGGATGAGAGGAATGTGCTACAGTAAAGGCGTATTTATCCCAACAGGGCAATTTGACTTCATGCAGTTCTTAGAGAAAAATTTCAGAAGGACCCAAATTCTAAGTGTTCAGCACCCACTTTTGGAGCCAAATGTGTTAAAGGGCTCGGTTTCCCTTTAACTTTATGTGTTACATTAACTGATGTATTTAACTCTTTTAAATTCTGCCCTCAAGCTTTAGACTAGCTAAAGTCCTTCTTGTGAGCAGGATTTCTATCTTTGAAACACTTTTAGCACATTGACCATAAATGCAACAGTATTTATTATTATTACTGCTATTACTACTGCTAGGAAATTTTGAACACGGTGTCCTGTTGTGTTTCACTAGAACTAATTTAAGACAAATAAAAAAGAAAAGAAGCTTACAGCATATTTTTTAGTCCTGTATATGAATATATGAGAGGATCGCAGCCTGATGATGCAGAAGGCAACAGTCTTGAAGTAGGTGACAAGCCAGCAGCTGCAGTGTAGCTTGGTGATTCAGGTTTATCTCTGAAAGCATTTAAAGCCGTGCCCTCAAGAGTGATTCAAGAGCTGCAGAACATGCCAAAGCTGGTGCTGTTTTTCATACAGGTAAAAAATGCAGCAAGATCAAGTACCCTGTAATAAAAGCTTGGTGCTCAACTCACTTTGTTTGTAGATGCTGTCTTGCAAAGTCTGCTTCTGAAGGTTTACGTGCAAAACTAGGAAAACTGCTCCCTGGCAGGGGCCTTAAGTAACAGCATAATACAAATATGAAGGTTAATATTTGTTTCTGATACTGTGCTGATCTTGACTCATGGATAATGAATTTGCTCCCTGATAAGCTATACTGCCTTATCGGAATGCCTCGTGTGTTTATCTCCGTAATAGCAGCTGGGGGAGGCGGAGTGGAAATTTCCCCATCCACAGCCAGGTTAGGTGCATGGGGGCACAAATCAGGGTGCCCAAGGCACCCAGGCCAGCTGGGGGAGTGTGGGTGGGACGGCCACATTCAGCTCCTTGGCCCAAATTCCTCTCCCAAAGATCTGCAGCTCCCACATTTGCCTCTAAAAGACACAAGTACTGAATGATCTGATATCCCAAAAGGAATACAAATGCCCTACTACTAAAAGTATCTGGTGAATGATTCATCGTTGTGAACAACTAGCAGATTTGCATCATTTCCTGTGTTTCTTAGTCTTTGCAGTTAGCTGATTATAACCCAAACTGATCACCAGTTTGTTCTATGTTTTTGCAGGGCAGAAACTACTGGATACATTAGCTGAAACCTGGGATTTTTTCTTCAGTGATGTCCTGCCCATGCTTCAGGCTATTTTCTATCCTGTGCAGGTGAAAATTTACTCTGTTACTATAGAATCTTGAAAAACGGGAGGAAGCAGCTTTTCTGGTTCATCCACAGATTGATGCAATCTTTACCTGCCTCTGCCCGGGCCAGCTTCCCAGGGCTGCTGTTCTGCATAGTCATGTTATGGAAAGAAGTTAATTAAGGCAACCTGGCTTGAAAGTGCTTGGCTAAAGAAGATGAAGGGGAATTTTGGAAATAGGAGGAGTGTGCGGGGAGGATAGATGGTCCTTATGTCAAAGGGCTCAAGCTGAAAGAATAAGGAGGATATGAACGATACACTGAAATATGCACACAGTGAAATAAGTGCAGCTGTGTTGACTTGAGCATATTTGGGGAAACTTTGTAAACATTTTTGCATTTTTCCGAGTGAACTTATGCCTAATTTGTTTGTCCGGTTGTTACCAATCCTGTTTCCATCTGCAATTAACTGCAAACATGCAATCTTAATTCTGTGGCAGAGTTGTAGCTTTAGAAAAAAAAATGATTCTAAAACAGAAGACATGTAGAGACTGGATAGCCCGTTGACTGAAAACCTATTAGAACCCCAGGCTGGATTTTTTATAAGTGCCACCTAATCTAAATTCAAGTCTACCTGATAATGTAGGTAGGCTCTCAGCATGATTTCAAAGACACTTACCTGAATTAGAATTCCCTTAGAAGGTTTTGGAAATTGCACCAAATACCTCTTTTTCACTGCCATGTTTCTGAGCCTTTGAAAATAATGCAGCCACACGAGACTCCTCATCTTTTAAGTGGAATTAATAGCCTGAATTTTCAAGGGAGCCTAGAGGGAGTAAGCACCAAGTCCTATGTAATTTCAAATGGATCTGGGTGCCTTATGTTCTAGGCACAGTTTGTGCTTATACGCTCTTGGAAATACCATTCACTACTGCTTTAAGCAGATTTGGGACCCTCTTCATTATATATAATTACTCTAAGAGAAAAGAAGTGGTGGGAGTGTCAGAGGACTTTATTCTAAATGAAGAGAAGTCAACATTAGGTGGATGCCAGGACTTCCAGAAAGGTAAATATTTGACTGGCAGCACTCAGAAATGCGGGCAAGAGTGTGCAACTACAGCCACATATATCCAAGGAATAAATCCTAATCACAGCAACTGGAATGGTTTGACGCCTCCTCAGCAGACGTAAGGCAAGCGGTGTTAATCTCCACCAGCAGAGAACTAGCCTCATATTCTTCAGAGGAGACTTCTTCCAGTGAGAAGTGATTCTTACATTGCAAAAAGATGTCTTTGAAGATGCATTGGAAACTTCACCTCTCTTCTTGCCTTATGCTGAAATTTCCCAAACTCTGGGAGGAAGGAGGATTCTAGGCAGACTGCAGCTACGATTCCTAACACAATCTAAAGAGCAAATGCTCGGCCAGTGCTTAAAATAATGGATTTTAAAAATATATATATTTTTTTTTAAAAAGTTTTTTTTTTTTTTTAATTTTCTGTTCATTTTACTGCTTTTGAAATACAAAATGTTCTCGCATATTCTGCACTCATGTAAGATTCTTCTTCAAGCCCCCACTGTCTTCATAGCTGAGATGAGTTTTTCTTGGCAAATACACACTTGGTCTTTGTCTGTAGCAGTCAGTATTGTCAAATAGAACAAATTCATGGTGAGTGTTTATGGGTTGTTTTGTGTCCTTTATCATATTGCCTCTGCTTTGCACTCATGTGTGCCATTCTGGTAATCCTTTAGGAGGAGAGGAAAGAATTTCACCTCGGAATTTTGACACTCTTTTTTGCGCAGTTCATAATCCATTTTGTTGTGTCTCTCTTTCCAAGGGGAAGGAACCCTCTGTTCGGCAGCTGGCTCTTCTGCACTTTAGGAATATCATTACCCTCAATATTAAGTTGGATGATGCACTATCACGTTCCAGAGCCAGAGTTCCACCTTCTATTATCCAGATGCTGTTAATACTCCAGGTAAATTTGTTATTTTTCCTCAGGTGATTTTCTTTATCTGTCTTTCCCAACTGCATTGCTCAAATCTTCTAAAGTAGCTTCTGTTATTGAGTCTCTATTGAAAACTTCTCCCCAGAACACCAGCCATCCCATGCAATTAAATGTTGTCTCCATCATATCTAGAAAAAGGATCTAGACTCCTAGAAAACGTGCCTTAAGATCAAGGGGATTTGAGAATAAAGACTATTTTTGCAACTGCAGACTGCAAAATAGTGAGTTTTGCAAGAAGGCCAATCTTTGTGGTACTACCATGACTTCCATTAAAAGTTGTGTGTTGCACCACTGGTGATTTGGAGCACAAAGATTCACAGCTGATGTAGGCAACAACGTGAATATGCAATTTGTGGTTGTATCATAATCATAGAATCACAGAATCATAGAATGCTTAAGGTTGAAACGGACCTCTAGAGATCACCTAGTCCAACCCCCTGCACACGCAGGGTCACCTAGAACATATCCTAGAGCTTAGGCTGCGTCCAAGTGGGTTTGGAAGATCTCCAGTGAAGGAGACTCCACAAGCACTCTGGGCAGCCTGTTTCGGGGCTCTGTCACCCTCACAGTGAAGAAATTTTAATTTTAATTTTGTTAAGAAATAACCATATTTTCAGCCACTATGACCAAATTGCATCAAAAATGTAGACATAAAAAGGTACAAGATCAGATGCTGATATTTTCTTTCAGTATTAGACTGTTTAACAAGAAGCAAAAAGAGGAAATGCAGGAATAAAAGCACATTTAAGAAAATATTTTCTTAATTAAAGAGAAGCATGAGTGTGTGATGAGGAGACGAGGGATGAAGCAGAGGGAGAGAGCCAGGACTGGAATTCTTAAGGCGTGAGGAAAGCTGGGAGTTTCCTGAGTGGTCATCTTTTTATTGCTATTCTTACTACAAACAAACAGATTCAGAGCAAATAAAAGAATATAGCTTCTCACACTTGAAGTCACTTTGCTTATCCTCGTCACGCAAAGTGGTGCTGCATCTGGATTAGTTTTAGAAGATGGGATAATCTGAAGGCCAGTGATGAAAATGGAGCGAGGAATAAGATTATCTCCGCTGGATCAAGAACGGATAGTTCAGCCTTGCTATCACAGTGCACATATGTTGGGGTGTATAATGGTGTGTTTAAGCTAGATCTCTCTGAAAAGATACTTAGGCAATAGCACTGCCTGCTTGCCCCCTTATCTGCCTCTCCCTAACCTCCCTCTGCCCAAATGCTTCTTGAAACTTGGCTGATTGTGGCGCAGCGACAGCTATCTCCGAGATATTAAGTTCTATGAGCTTCATGGAAATTAGTGTCTGGAGAGAGCAGAGGAGCCTCCGGGAGAAAATAGAGCATGGGCTTAGCTGCATAATGAGACATCAAAGAATTCACATAATTGAGCTGTGAACGAAACTGTGCTAATAGACACCAGAGATTCCACATTACAGAGCACCATCAGGAATACCTTAATCGCAGGAAGGTGGCCTATCAGACCTCATCCCTTCTTGGAGACTTTGGTAATTTGCTTTTTGAAATCAGGCTTCAGAAGCATCACTGCTGACAGATCTCCCTAGTTTTCTGAGGGTGGAGTTTTCTTGGCTTGTTTAAACTTTCTTTTCAAAAGAATCCGCACTAGCTGTGATTAGGATCCTGCTTCTGGTGAATTAGGTAGCCTCTTGATTTAGGAAATTCATAGGAGCTGACGTGGAGCCACTTGCCAGGATCAGTTCCTACAGCAAGCGATTTCATGGCAAATCTGCTTTCTCCAGCAACTGGATGTGTTAATAAGGTAGATGCCAAATTAGAGGGTAAAGACAAATCCAGTCTCATTGCAAGGCTGCTGATGGAATAATAATAATAAAGTGGGAGGCAGCTTGACCTTGGGTGTTCATTTCTGCATGTGTTAGCTGCAGCTGTATGGTGGGGAACCTGGTGAGGAACGTCCTCTCTTGGCAATAGCTCTGCCAAGCTTGAGGCTTAAAAGCTAATGGAAGTTACAGTAAAGGGTCAGGAAATGGGCTGGGAACGAGCCAGTTACATGCTTAGTAGTGTTAGTCAATTAACTTGATTTCATAGCTAAGTCTGTCTCCCAAATTTAAATGTCAGGCTAAGCAAAGGCAAAAATTATACATTTGTGGCGTAATAATGGAATTTCCTTGGGATTAAGCTAGTGTGTGAATAGGACTGGAGCTGAGAGAGCAACTCAGCTGTCCAGAAACGCGTGGTGACCTTGTGCGTGTGGGTTTCCTACACTGAGAGAAGAGGTCTTGGTGTGGGCACTGTCTAACCGTGTTTCCATCAACCGTGGATATCTCTTCCATAGCGAGCTCAGTGACACTGCAGCGGCTTCCTGAGACCTGAAGGTGAGTCTAGTCATGTTGACCCTGAGGAAGTGTTGCTCCTGATGCCAAGCCAGCCGTGCTTCGGTCCTGGACGGCTGCAGGCGGCGGTTGCATCACTCCAGTGCAGGTCATCTGGTTCCAGGCAGCAGCTGTAACTTCAGCTGAAGGTCACATACTGGCGTGCACCAGTCTGTCCTGTTAGGCTGGATTAAAGAAGCGATGGGTTTTGTAACTAATGCAGGATACAAGTGGTATAATCATATATTGGCTTGTCCTGGTGTAGAGGTAGATCTCTGTCAGTTTATCGAGAGAAGATGCTTTTCTTACGGAGGAGAAGGGAACTTATAAGGAGAAAGAGGAGACAGAAGCTGTAACAATCCTTGAACTTTATTCAGGAGGTAGGTGCTGATCCAGCCAAGCACATTTTGCCTGAGGATGGGCAGTTGAATTGGTTTCAGGAAAATTCCAGTATAATTTCATTGCCTTGTGTCACAGCACAGAGCCAGTGCATGTTACTCGTGTGTTGCTTGCTCAGGGGGCTGCCCTGTGCCAGAGGCCCCACAAGGAGAATAAAAGAGCCACTGCTAAAGAGCTCCAGAATAAAATGGAGCCTGGAATGAAGTTGATGCCCAGACTTAGTTGTCTGGGTGATAGTTTTTCCTTCTTTGCATCAGCTCTTTCATCCTCTCCTCTGTACACTGCTTGCTGGAAGGGTCCGTACCAGGTATTTAAGACCCTTGCCCAGGACGTGGTGATACAGCTGGGACAGAAGGGGTCACCAACCTGACGTGCCTCATGGTTTGCCCACAGAGCCAGATTCCTCCGTTTCCTTGTGTTGAAGACATCAAAGGTAAAACAGGCAGAGAAAACTCCTGTCTTCTCTCTGTACTTCCTCTTTGAAGGAAAGAAGAACTTGCATTTCTGCAACAAAGCTATTACAGCTATTGTAGTGGCTAACTGTGTAGCTAAGGTACCCTCCACTTAAAGGAATGGAAATTAATCCTCCGGTTAATTAGTGCACTCAGCTTCTCCAGTCCAGTACATTCACTTCGGGATATAACCTGGTCCTCGTTGTGATCCTGGTTGTTGATATATCCTGGTAACCTGGATATATCCAGGGATATAACCTGGTCTGGTTGTGACCAGGTGGGCTACTGCCCCAGGGTGGATGGAAAGAGCAATATCTCTTTGCACTTAAAGGGAGGTTAACCAGAAAGCTCAAGCTTTCTGTTGCCACCTGCCTGAAATGTTTATCCTACATGGTTGCTCATAGACAGTATAGGATGCTCAGGATGCCTCCGAAACGCTCGTATGCCTTGCAGGGCCTTAAAGAGCAAGGTTGTGAATGAGACAGGTAAAAGAAGAAGAACTAAAACTGCTTTTCAGCGCCAAAATATATGCAGGAGCTCACGTATATGTTCTGTAGTGTCAACAGTCTCTCCTCGGTGACCTTTCTCTTGGGCTGGAATTAGGAAGCAGGAGAAAGAGGGATAAGCAAAATTAGAGATTAGAAAGGAGTTTTCTCCCTTGTGTTCTGTGAACCAAAGAGAGCAAAACTACCACAAGAAGGTAAACAAAATGTGACTAATTTCTCAAATCACATATTGTGAAAGAAGCCCTTTACCACTGAGACGGGAACATCTTATCTCCAGGTATCTTTCCTGAGGTCTGAGAAAGTCAGGACAGGAGAATAACAGAGTGTTTATCTACATCTCTTGGTTGACAGCAGGATTGTTGCAGTTCACAGAATCTCTCCGGGCAACCCGAGGTAGTAGAGAAGCAGAGAAAAGCAAAGCACCGTCTCTGTCATGCTGAGGGATGAGGCCTCACTAAACCCCAGCTCCAAAGAGAAAAATAAAACCTGTGGTTTCCTTTTCGGCTTCTCTGAGCTTCGCCAGAGCTCCCTTGCCTGTTGTCTCTCTTTGTAAAGGGAGACAAAAAAAGACAAAATGCGCAGAACTGCCCGGTGGGCCCTGTTTGTTCTCTCTCGATGTCCCTACCTGCCTGTGTGGCTCCTCACACTTGAAAGGGGCGGGAAAGCTCCTCGCAGGAGCCGCAAGCAAGTGCAAAGAGCAGCTTGATGGTTCCAAACAAAACGCCCTGTGCTGTCGGGAGACCGCGGGGCTCTCGCTGCAGGGAAGCAGATTTTCCACGTCGCACTGGGAAGCACGGCAAGTGAGGCCAGTTTGCTGTGGCCAAAGGGTTTCATGCTGGGCTCTTGCTTTTCTGAGGTAGCCTTGTGAAGGCTTTTGGACCGGGAGCGAGGGTTGGGCCAAGTGGGGTGTGCGTGAGGTTTCTGGGTGCTTTTCCTCTTGTTTTTACCATTTTAATCCCTAGTTTGGTAAAATGTGCAGAATTGGAAACCTAAAAATAACTGTATCATACTCTCTATATAAATATAAGTCACCATATGCAAAAGCAGAGTTTACCCTGGATTGTGGAAGAATATATTTTCCTCTTTCCTTGCACATAGATGCTTTTCCTGTGCTGGGTGCATTAAATCAGGAGTCATGTAAGGTATCTTACAGCCAGGCTGGTGCCTGAAGTGTAGTGAGGTTTCCTATATTAGTTTGTACTGATATACCCAAAACTGAGAATCTGGGCTTTGAGATTTAATTTCAGAATATTCTGGGTATAA